CGCACGCACACACACACACACACACACACACACACACACACACACACACACACTCAGCCAAAAGAATAACTGTTATTTAAAGACTAGAGCTGTACTTGCTCATTTGAGCAAAAAAATGCCTTGGAGAGCTTGATGGGTGGAGTAGATGAAGGGAAAGATGGAGGGAGTGATGAGAGAGAGAGAGAGGAAAAGAAGGGAGGTACTCTAGAGATGGAAAGATGAGAGAGAGAAGCAGGAGGAGGACGAGGGGGATGATGTCATCTTTTAACCCTGTGCTGCTCCCCTTCTCCTCCCTCCTGTTTCCTCCCCAGATTCTTTCTCCTCTCCTCTCCTCTTCTCTCCTCTCTCGCTCCAGCAGGACTATATTTAGATCTGTGCAGCTGTGTGTGTGTGTGTGTTTTGATGCTGTTGCAGGGTGCTTGGCGCTGCTCATTCTTACATATGTGCCTCCTTTCACCAAAGCCCACCCACCCCTCTCCCTGCTCTCGCTCTCACCATCTTCTCTACGTCACATGCTATCTTTACCCTCACCTTGTCTCAGGCTGACGTTTAGTTTTTTACCAGCATCTTCGTCCTTTGTTTATTTAAAGGATAAGTCTGGAGATATGCCCTTATTTCCTTGTTGTCAACAGATACAATGAAAAGACCAAAACCAGCAATTAATTGATCCCACAAACGAGTATGTTAGGTGTGGCCAAAGGTCTTTTCACACAATTCCATTCCAAAACACATCAATTAGCCACTGTTGCACTGGGTCACAGGTGCTTTCATTACAATGAACATGGGCATTGTAGTTTATTCATGAGTTTATTTTGACTGAATTCCACACACACTGTCCTGCTGCTGCAAATACTTGCTTGTGCACCAAATGTGTATTAATCCGCCACTGAAAATAGTTCCAACAACTGCACCATTTACTCCTGTTTGAGTGGTGTTTCCTGCAAAACCACAGTGAAAGGTGGGACAGAGAGGTAGAATGGTTTAGAATAAACACAACTGAGGCAGATGTTACGACAAGTGGAGAGCATTTCTCATTAAACGTCAGACTGTCAGTTTAATGTTTTATTAGTCGATATCATCCAGCGTTTGTCAGTATCTGTATAATGTAAAGTGATCCAGTGACTTTCTAGACTGCATACAGTATGTGAGCTGACTACCTGTCTCCCCTTGGACTTGGAACAATTAGAAAGAGTGCTATTGGACTTTTTCAAGGTACTTTGTCTGATTTTGTTATAGTATGTGTGAATTGGACCGTTGTTCTCTGTATTCCTGTTATTGTTACAACATCCTTTCATTTTTTGTAATTGCTTTTATTGCACCCCAAGCCATCCATGCAGAGGGAATCTCTCATTGAGTTGCCTCTCCAGAGGTTTGGCACTTATTTTTCCTCATGCACCAAATAGTTTTTTTACTTTTCTTCGACAGCTACAGGGCTGACTTAAGAGCCCTTGCTGAGACATTGTATGCACGATACAAATAGGACAAACTTTTCCTGACAGCTAAGAACTCTTTTAGTTCTTTGGCCTTCAATTAGCAAAACACACCTACACAACAAATGGCTTGAGTGAAGACATTATTATTTTAAAACTGACTATGCAGTCTAGTATACTTAGGAGGAGGGGAATACAAGACAAAAACTGGTATATTAATCAATCTTTGTGCATGTGGATTTTGAAAAGATCCTTTGTTTGTACAGCATGAAGAATAACAGAGAGAGTAATACAAAGCTTGAGGCACTTTGTATTAGCACTGAGAGTGTAATTGCTTTTCTTATTGACTGTTTTAATATGCTTTTATAAATTGTGGTAATGTAACTTTAACAATGGTGTGCCATGTTGACAATATGCGTCTCAATCTCAATGGACTTTCTGAGTTAATAAGGATGAAATAAATAAAGAAGTCAAATTAAACTACATGCACTTAATGTTTTGGATCATATATTCACAGCTATGCTTGTTACCCATTGGAAAAAAAAGATTTGGATTGTGAGAAACATGAATATAGCTCATAAATGACTCACTTGCAGTGATTAAGATCCTAGTTTGAACTCTAATCACTTTACCGACATGGTATTAAAAGCTGCCTTGAATGAATGGGTCTGGAGCGACCTGCGTTGACCTAATAATAGCACAGCAGAGAGGAAAGCTAAAATCCACCTCACTCAGTATTATCTCCTTTTGGTTTCTGCGCTGCCTCATTGTGCACTGAGTTTGTGCAAGCCTTACCTACCGGTACCAAACATGATATCAGACATTGAGGTAATAATACTGGTGGCCAGTTCAAAATATTGTTTTGGCCCATTTGCTTTGCCTTAAAATATGTACTGTGGCTCTGTCTGTGCCCGTCATCTCCCGACACTTATTCTTTAAAAAAATATATATATTTCATGTGATTGTACTTTTCTCTCTCCCACACTTGCTCTCACATGTCTCTCTGTCTCCCAAACCCACATACATGCTTTTTCTTTCCCTCCTTCTCGCTCTGTATTTTTTCCTCAGTCACAGCACGGCACATCTTCATACAATTACTCTCCATTAAAAATGGATTAGATTTCACCTTCACAGTCTGTCTACAGGGGGATAACAGGAGGGAGTGGACAGCAAAGATGGTTGCTATGAGAAATCAGGAGAGAAGGATGAAGAGATAAAAAGGTTAGGAAGGGGTATATTAGGAAGGGGAAAGAAAAAAGAGAAGTGGGGAAACGGAGACAGGAGGAGGAGCGATGAAGAGTCAGGAAGATGAAAAGACTGAAGCTGCAGCTACATCAAACCAGCCAAGAGCGACATATACAGAAGTGGTCGCCTTGCAGATTTAGACTCACATTTGTTCCCGAAGCAAAGTCAGAATAAATAGTTCTTCCTCTTAAACTTTTCACACTCCTTTTTCGTGACCAATAGTCAGAAGATTGTGTGAACTTGTCTGTTACATGTTTGTCCAGTCACTGAGAAATGGCTGCAATTCAAGAACAAATTGGTGGCTCAGTACAGCTCAATCAGTAGTCTCTTACACATCAACAGTAGATGTAAAATGGGCAAAAAGGAAGGTTGAAGAAAAGTCACAGAGAAAATGTATTCAAGTCACGTCACGTGACAAAAAAAGAAGCAAGCCAGTCCCGCTATTCTGAGCCTTTATACACAAACAACACACAATCGTCTACACATGAAACAAGGACAAATTCAGAGAACTTGCCTGAATGGAGGACAATCTGACAGTCTGGTCAATTTAAACTTAACTTAACCCGAATGCAAAAAGTTGCAAGTCAAAAAGATTTGCATCATAATCTTGTGTTTAAGTTTTTTAGGTGTTCCCATATCACCAACCTGGGACTTCATCAAACAGCAACTTAGTAGTTTCATTATGTATCAAACTTAAAATAAATCCTGTTATAAATACAGATACTCTGTCCCATCACCATCTAAAGTATGGAAGTTGGTCATAATTGATACAACAAAGGCCACTTTAGTGTGCGTCTTGTGCCTCGACACATCAAGCAAAGGTCAGGCCTCGTCTATTGTTGTGCAGCTTTGTGCCAAAGGGAGCAGATGGTCATGGTGTGCCCACAAGAGGTGAGGGGGTCTGGGGCTGGAAAAGCTCCAGTCTGCCCCCCTTACCCCTCCTGAGTTTCCCACCTGGGGGTTAAGAAGGGTTAAATCTAATCTGCTCCTGCTGTGTGTGTGTGTGTCTGTGTATGTGTGTGTGAGTCTTGGATCATCCTCAGATAGTCTAGACTGCTTCCCAGTCTTGGGTAACGCTGCCTTCTTTTCCTTTGACAGGGAGATTATTTGTTCAACACTGTAACTGAGTAACCAGTGTATCCAATACACCAGTTGAGTTTCTAACGCGTCAGAAAGGAGTCAATGGTCGTCTCAGCCTACAGTCCTTATTAGGGTGTGGTTAGTGGTTGTTTTATATTGATTTAAATGTGACAGGTGGATCTCATCAAGTCATCTTTACGGCAGAGCTGTTCTTATACTTTTGAATATAAGCACCACTGTCTACTCCCCGACTCTGCCATGAGTACAACCCGACACACAGTGTCAGGTCTGTTCGTCAGGCTCAGCTGGACGTAGAAATCAAGTTTTAGATCACGGTAGGTTCACTGAGGTGCTCTAGGATCAGTCAGACTTTTCATAGCAGTTATAACATACATATGCTACAGCCTGGAACATCTGCTCAAACACCTTTGCAAAGAGGATCAGGTTTTCATGTCTTGTATATTCATATATTATTATTCCTGTATTATTTATATATTTATATTTCATATAATGTAACGTAATGTATTATTATCCTCACATAAACCTCACATACAGTACATCTGACTAATATAGGAATCTATTTCACTGCATGCTATTTTTTGCTATTGAGTCATCAGAAAAAGAACCCAGCATTCCCATTTGGTTGCAAAGCCTGTAACTCTCTACATTGCTTCGTTTTTTTTGTTGTTGTACGTTTTTGCATGATGCTTTTCAGGCTGAGCTGCTAAGTTCTCACACCCCCTCAAGCCGGTGGAATCAATTTAAAACTCACTGCGTGTGTTCAGTAATCCATGGGTATGAGACACTTTCTCTCCATCTGAGAAAAGTGGTGTTTTCTTTTTTTGGAAGTGCAAGGTTTTAATGTGACGGCCGACAGCAGGTCGTTTCATTGTGACGAACAGGTCTGGAGAACGAATCTGACAGGTAATAGGACTGAGATGCAACACAGCCCTCTGGAGGAAAGTATGTGTGTGTGTAAAAATGTGTTTGTAGAGTAATAGCCTGTTTTCTTTCCCTCATTACGTTGGAGAGAAGATCTAGCCTGTAGAATATATATCTGTGTACTCCCAACACTTCGACTTTGTCAAACGATTCACTGCCGAACACAAAGTGCCTTTCAGGAACGCCATTGGACATGGCTGAGCTGCATCAGCCTTTTTCTTTCTTGTCCTTTAACCTATTTGTCTAACATGTCTCTTTCTCTTTCTCTCTCTCTTCCCTCTTTCCTACCTCTCAATCCTCCAGACGCCCCGGTGGCAGAGTTACACGACCTGTTCTGTAAGAAGCTGCAGCAGTGCTGCGTGCTGTTTGATTTCCTGGACTGCGTGGCTGACCTGAAAGGGAAGGAGATCAAACGTGCGGCACTCAACGAGCTGGTGGAGAGCGTGGCCACGAGCAGAGGAGTCCTCATAGAGCCTTTGTACCCAGAGGCTATAAAGATGGTAGGAGGAGAGGAGGAGGAGAGGAGGAGAGGGGAGGCTAGGGGTGGAAACGATGGACTATAGGGGATGGATAGGTGAAAGAATAGAAATGAAAAAAGGAACATTTGGGCACAGACAGTGACAAACGATCGTCAATGAGCAAATGAAACATAGAACGCAAGAAAAACATTTCCACAGGTCACCAGAAGCTATAAACAAAGATGCCGAGGAAAGGAGAAAGGAAGTGAGAGGCAGATACATAAAGGGAGGAAAGGAAAGGAAATATAGAACATTTGCAAAGGAGGCTAAGTAGCAATAGGAGGAGGACGGAGGCGAGAAAGTGAGGGATGGACAGGAAAGAGATCCAGAGGTCCCAGATGATATAAATAGGGGGAAAGGAAAGAAGGTAAAGTGAACAGAGGATAGAGCTTATGTTATGGAGTCACTGTACCCAGAAGATATGAAAATGCTGATAGGACGGGATGGAATGAGAGGAAAGTGGGCAAAGGCTTTAATGTGAAGAAAGCGTGGGAGGCTACGAAAGAAACCAGATGACCCACATGATGTTTCTCAAACGTGGAATTGTTGTGTAACTTTAGTCTAATTATAGTTATGGCTTTGACCTTTTTAAATCCAAGTGAGGTTTACATGGTCCTATGAAATGGGCCTATACCCTCCTGCAGTGAGAAGTATAAACTAATGCAAACAGATGTATGGAGAGGGGGAAAGAACAGAAAAGAAAATAATGCTGAATTGGGGAGTTGAGATTTACCACATTTGCTTTTCGCAATGCAGTTTATGCACTAAATGGCCGGTGGAAATGCACGTGTTGAATAAATCATGACTGTGCGAGCAGTCGGGTTGCATGGCTTAAAATAGCTGAAGTTATTTTTTGTGCTTGATTTAGTTGATACTAACCCACTTAATTGTCCAATATCCAATATAATACAAGACTCTTACATGTTGAATGATCACTGACACTGTGTTACAACACCAGCTGTGTTACAACTATCCTGAGAGCTAATTTGGTGTGAAGTGACACAAATCTGTAATGTGCATCATGTCGAATAATCAGCATGATGAAGTCTAGCAACGAGTCAAAGGATGTTTTAGTTAGAACTGTTGTATTACAAAGACCCATAGACCTACTTTCTGGAAAATACAACTGTTAAATCCATTTGTTTTCATGTCAAGGATATCTATAATATTAAAATGCACTGTCATTTGACGTTTCTAATTTTCTTTTCTATCTCTCCACCTCGTTCCCTTTTCACTTCCCTTTTCCCTCTGATCTTCTTTTCCTGCATCTCCCACTATCCCCTTCCTCTATCCACATCCCTCCTTACCTCTCATCCATTTTCCTCTTTTCCTCTTCCCATTTCCTTCCTCACCTTCTTCCACCTGTTCCCTCCTACTCCTATGTTTGCGGTTTTCCAGATCTCGGTAAATATCTTCCGTACTCTCCCACCAAGTGAGAATCCAGAGTTTGACCCTGAGGAAGATGAGCCAACACTCGAAGCCTCCTGGCCGCATCTGCAGGTACATACAAACAATCCTGTAAACTATTTTCTGACGATTTACATAATATCATGCATTTTCCACTTCAGATCTAAGGACAATTTCTGTTGAAAAGATATGTTCAGCAAAATGTGTTGACTTTGGCTTTTTGTTGCTTTAAACGGTTTGCTTTGTTTTTAAAGTTAAAGTGAAACACAATGCATGTGGCCCTGCTATATATTATATACTATATTTGAGAGGGTGGACAATACCATAATGCACATAACTCCCTCCAGGTGTTGCTTTTCATGCAGCGTTCAGCATTTATCTGCACATAAACATACTGTACCTGAGCCCGAGGTCCTTTAGATCAGTTAAATCTGCTGTTTAAAGCAAAACTTTGTGCCTAACTGTTCCTGTTTTATCAGCCGGAATCACAAAATGGGGCTCTAGCAAAGAAGAAAATCACATCTTCTTTATTAGACTGCTGGTGTTTGCAGAGTATTAAAGAAGATTACCGTGCTACGTTACCTAGAGCCGCTTTAGAAAAAACATTGTTTGCCATTTTGAAAAAATACACTTTCGAGTTCTTGCCGAGAGTTAGATGAGAAGAATGATACTGCTCTCCTTTCTGTTTGGTCAATGAGAAGCCAGTCCCTGCAGCCTATTAGCTTAGCTTAGCATTAAGACTGGAAACAGGGGGAAAAACTAGCCTGGCTCTATCTAAAGGTTAAAAAAAGCAGTATTTTATCACTAAACTAAGCTAACAGGCTGCTGGCCTTAGCGTACGAGGTAATAATTCCCAAAATATCAAACTATTACTTCAGGACAAAAACACACTACATTACGTCTAATCGTTTACGGTTTGTGCCTCCATTAGCTGGTTTACGAGTTCTTTCTGCGTTTCCTGGAGAGCCCGGACTTCCAGCCCTCCATGGCCAAACGCTACGTTGACCAGAAGTTCGTCCTGCAGGTAGTCCTCTCTCTCCTTGCGGTTTGTTGAATCCAAAGCTTTTAAGATGTTCCTAAAACCATGATAAATGGAAAGCTATAAATAAATGAAGCTCTTCCTTGAAACAGCAGGTATTGCAGAACCGAGTAATATTCCGGAGTGCTCTTAAATTTTATGATCTAAGTTGGGGCACATATAAAAAAGAATTGACTAAAAGACTCAGCAGTTCTTGTTGTACAACTTTTATGTTTAATATCCTGCTGTATTTTTGAAAGACATTAGTAAAAAATAGTTCATGTAATATTAAGCAGATGGTAAAAAATACCACAATGTTTTTACACAGAAATATAACAAATACTAGAGATTGGTGGTCTTTGTCTCCTGTTCGAGATTGGCTTTTTATTGAAGAATAATTCACATGACTTTAAGGTTAAGGTTCAGGTGCAGGAGTGAGGAGGTTAGAGAATGAATGCATTTAGAAAATGGCCCCACAAGAGCCATAAAACAAACCTACTGTATTTGTAATTTGTAATTATCATGTGTGTGTGTGTGTGTGTAGCTCCTGGAGCTGTTTGACAGCGAGGACCCCAGGGAGAGGGAGTACCTAAAGACCATCCTGCACCGTGTCTATGGAAAACTACTGGGCCTCCGAGCCTACATCCGCAAACAGATCAACAACATCTTCCTCAGGTATAGGCTGCCTCCCACCAGCCCACTGCATAGGATTTAAGGTTGCTTGCTATTTATAGCATTTTAACATCAATAAATCAAACATCCGCCAACAAAGACCATCAGCAGGGTGAAAAGCGGTGTTTATGACCTCTGTAATGCATGGCTTTAGCTTGGTGCGTCATAAAAAAGTACAAAACAGGAACATTTGTTACTGAGTTATCAGTATTGGAAGAGTATAAAAACCTCACACATTTTTGGGTTGAAGTCACACGAGATACGTGGAAATTTAGGCTGAATTAGTACATTAGAAAATGAGTGCTGCATATTTAGAGTGGTTCTGTAACAAGGGAAACCAGCCTCACACGAACAGGCCCACGGCATGACTGTGCACATCTGCACTCACTAGAGCATCAATGCATCCCCATCCTGCAGCTATCCGGAGAGTTAAATCCTCGTGTGGTGACTCAAATTTCCTCAAATAATTGGTTAAACAGCTCTGACTAACGAGAGTGCTGTGATGTACAATCATGTTTCGTCATTGTCCTTCATCAAGTGTGGCTGTATTGTTGCGTTTGCAATGTGATTCAAGCGAAAGGAGAGCGGCGATGCTGCGACGCACTCTATTTCTGTCTCAGTTAAACTGGTTTCAGTATCATTGTTTGTACATTTTGACAGCTAAAAGATGCAGAATAAGCATGAATGTGCTTCACTGACATTGTAATCCATTTCTCTATCACATGATCACAGAGGTATTAGAGTTGTATTCCAGAAATCGTGTTGATTATCAATTCCTTAGGAAAGTCAGGAATGCCAGCCAGGGAATTATATGCATTTGTAATTTATGTGAACAGATTATGTTTTACTATTTCAAGAATTACAGTCCTTCTTTTAGTCCCTTTTGCTTTTGTTTTGGTTGCTTCTTCTGCTGATGCATCATCCCAAGTCACTCTATGTGTGTATGTTGTATCTGATCTTTAGGTTCATATATGAAACTGAGCACTTCAACGGTGTAGCGGAGCTTCTGGAAATCCTCGGCAGGTTCGTGTCAAATCACACAGACACACTTTGGGGCAAACTCTTCTGCTCTGGAGGAAAGCACGCTTCGTAGTATATCACGACTTAATGAATGCATTTGGAGTTGAGTGTGAACACACAGACACATACTGTCCTTGGCCAGCTGCTCCTATTCACGAGACAGCTGGTAACCCACTGATTTAAGCAACTACGAAAAAAACGGTGACGAAGCACAATCACTTCTGCAACAGCTCAACACAAAAAGCAATTTAATAGGCATTTATTTTAGATTCATTATCGTTCTCTCGTTCTTATCAGGCAAACACAACTGCGGGTGCAAAGACCGAAGGAGTAAGAAATTAGTTAAAAGGCAGGGGGTGAATGAGTAAAGGTGGGTGGTGGCAGGAAGGAGAGACAGAAACAAGAGCGAGTATAAATACAGAAATGAGAAATGACTCAGAGGTTTGTATAGTTTGTTGCTTTGTCTCTGAGGCCAGTAAGAGAAATATGAGGAAGATGGAAATGGGAGCGCAAGGGAGGAAGCCGAAACTGATAAACAAACATGTCTTGCTCTCCGCTGGTACTCGTACGCAAATGAATGGGAACAAGAACGGAGAGATGACAGTAATAAAGAGAAGTAAAGGGAGAGAGAAAATGGAGGATGGACACAAACAAGATCGGTGATATTATCTGGTCTGTTTCCAGTCTCACTCCCTCCGTACGCAGAATAATGTTGAAGGAGTCGTTTTTTGGGCGACAAACATTAACCTCATGTCAACTTAACAAAACTGGAGTCAGGGCTAGCTTTTTTTAGCATAAAGACTGGAAGAAGGGGGAATAGCTAGCCTGACTGTCCAACGTGAAAACATATTGAATCAACAAGTCTGTGCACACCAGTCTAATATGTCACTTCAGTGTGTGTCTGCATTAATATAATGTAGAGCAAGAGTCAATGACACATATTAACATAATATAGTATAATATGGCACACTATGGTGTAGTTCTTAGCTAACGTTAGCATGACCTCAAAATCTATTTGCTAACTCTTGCTGCTGTTAGCTTTTCACTTTGAAAATTTAAGGTACATGACGACCTAATCAGCCGGCTAAGTAGGAGGCGGCCTTGTTATGCTAATGTGCATAAAAGGAGAGGGTAGTTGCGGTTTCTCTCGGAACAAATTAGACGAAATGGAAGGAGACGGGGAATAAATAAAAGGCATTGAAAGAGCGAAATCATCTGTAAGCAAACAAAGAAATTGAGTCAATAAATATTAAATTCTCTCAAGGGCAGTCTGTGCTGGAATCTAGCTTGTGCCCTCTGTCTTTGTCTGTCATTATTAGACACTAATAAGAAAGACATGTTTTTAAATGGTGATTTGTTTGAATTCTGGACAATTTGTCCTTGAGTTTTTGCCAATATAAAGGATATAAAGGATAAAGAGGTTAATACAACATCTGAAACATTTCTTCCAACCCATGGACACCTGACCGAGCAAGTAAATAAAACAATGGTTGACGACTTTTGATGAGTTAATGCAGAGAAGAGAGCGGGAGTATAGAGGAGAGGCGGAATTCAAGGTGAGAAAAGATGGAGGGATGAGGGATGGAGAGAGGATGAGTGAGTGAACAGTGAGTCAGAAGAGGAGGAAGGAGAAGCAAGAACAGGAGAGGAGAGAGAGGTTTGTATTCATGTTGGTGGTAACAGAGGTATTTATAGCTCCTCCCACACACAGAGAGAAGGAGAGAGAGATGGGAGGATTCATTGTACAGAAAGAGAGAGAGAGAGAGAGAGAGAGAGAGAGAGAGAGAGGAAGAAGACAGGAGGCAGAAAGAAAGATTAGACGAACAGCAGGAGGGAGATATTATTGAAGAAATGTTCCCTTAAACAAAGATGCTGTTAGGCAGACAAACAGACAGGTAGACTGACTGATTCAGAGAGACTGAGACAAACAGATAAACAGAGACAGAGTGCTCCTAAGACTCATACTTGCCAAGTTTAGTTCCCACTCTTCCGCTGCTCATACTCTTCCCTCCGTAGGCTGAACTACCTCTATGTCAGTCAGTGTAGCTGTGAACAGAGCGGACCACGCATTTGTCCAGTCACTTGGAAATGGACACAGTACTAGAATAGACTCCACCACACAGACGAACACACACGCATACCCGGATGTGAATAGTAGACTTTATGTAAATAAATATCTGTCTATAGAGTTAAAACACCAAAAACGTCACCTTGGTTTTGCCAGTAAAAAGCAAGTATATGTATGTAGAGTGTAAGTATTTGACTGTAACTGTCCTTTCCTCCAGCATCATAAATGGCTTCGCCCTGCCCCTGAAGGCTGAACACAAGCAGTTCCTGGTTCGGGTCCTCATCCCGCTACACACGGCAAAGTCCCTTTCCATCTTCCACGCACAGGTCAGTGACATTTGCCGGCGTGGTCTAGTATTTAAAGTCCTTTGGTTGCATATTACTGTATGGCTAGTATTACCGCCAGTTTCTTTTGATTCCTTTGGAATTAAGAACCTTTGAAACCCATATGTGCTTTATGTAACACCACCAATGCAATTACACAGTACCAAATGTGTTTATATAGTTTGTCGCCATGTCTACATCCGCATGCAGGGGACAGATGTTTATTTAATAGTCTGTTGTACCGTCCAAGTGTTTTTCCATGTGTGTTCATATGTTTTTTGAAGGCCAACATTGATGCTGTTTGCTGATATTTTGTGCCAGATATTATTTTCACCATTTCCAAGCAAAAAAAACAGCATCATAACTCTGAATTATTTAAAATATGTGGTGGTTTTGCAGTTCTTCTACCTGACTGAGGCATGCTTTATTGTAGGTTTTAGAGATCCTGCTCCTCCAGCTATCATAGAATCAAACTGGCTTGTAGCTAATCTTCTGGTTTCTCTACTAAGAAGAGATCCAGGTCTTTTTCTCACCTTGACAAATCAGCCATACATGTCTCTCAAATGGTAGTACTGATTCCTGCAATGTGTGAAATGTACCACTAGGAGGCAGAGTTGGGTCACAGATAATACTGCAGAGTAATGCGCTCACTGTTGAATTACACTTGGTGTGTGTTTTTGGTTTCTTTGGTGTGTGTGTGTATGTGATTGAGGACACAGATGGCAGCCATTCTATTGTGTGTGTGTGTGCATTCTGTTTGTGCCACACATTATTTAGTTATGCAGAAGGTACAGTTTGTACAGAGGTATGTGTGTGAGTGTGTGTGTATTCTGGGTTCCAGCATCACCGTGCCCTACATTTCTCCTCCCTGTCTTCCTCCCCGTGGTTCACACACATGCATTATTCACACGCTCAAACACACACTCGGTTTGATGGGGTCACAGGGGATACATGCGAGTGGACAGAAGTTTTGTGCTCACTAGGTGTGGCTGTGCGAGAGTGAGTGACCCAGATCTGGATCTAAATATCAAAATATAATATCACAGCAGCACTTAATCATCTTAATGTTCCTCAGCACCGTGAATTACATTTGAATCATCCCTACAGTAGCTTATGAAGGATTTTCTCTTTTAAATTCACGTCAGTGAATTGTAGTAACAGCTGTTAGAGCTATATTTTGAAGCCACAACATGGTTACACATAATGTATTTCAGCAAAAAGCAAATATTTGAAGTGTTGCCCAGTGTACGTCATTTTTTGTCCAAACTTACAAGGCCGAAACTCGTAATTGGATTGGTGCAATAGCAGTATGGGTGGACACAAAAATTGTTTGTGATATCACTTCAGTTCCCACAGACACACTGACAGTTAAACAGCTGTGGTCTGACGTTGTTTGTAATTGCTTAATCCCATCCATGCCTATGTTACTCCCTGACCTCTGAGGTTACAGGACTACTGGCTGCTTTGAGTTTTGACAGTCTGGTCCAACGCTAACTAGCCCCCCTTCTTGGTATAATGTGGAACAAACACAAGCTGGAGCTGCCAAATGAAAAAAACAAAAGAGAAAAGTAACTTCCAGTGGAAATCAGTCCAAACAATAGCAAGCTAAGCTAATTAGCTTCGACTTCAGGAGTGAGAGCTTTATTTTGCAGCTTGCTAGCCTCGCAATTTCGAGTGGAATACAAACTTTACAACACTGCGTCTCCTCCCAAATGTTGAAAGTCATAAAGGGACAGATGTCTTGAAAATCGAAGGATTAAAAAAAGCAATGTCATGTAGGCTCATTGAAAAGGGGAAAACAACGCCTCATATCAATGTTCATATGACGCACTCAAGTCAGTAGCCAGCAGGGAAGTTGACACCGTGTTGAAATGTGAGTCAGCCGCTGCCATGGTAGACAGCCACCTAGAGGCCAGAAGCTCAGACGGTATTGCCGCAAAAATGTTTTTATCCTCGTTTGAAAATTGGAAAAACTTGCTTCACACAAAAATTGATGAGAATTCCAGTATCGGTTCGACTTAAATCGAAGTGACACTGTGAATAAGTCGGCATGATTCACACAGATCATGCCGGTTTATGTTTATAATTGACAGGGTAATTTAAAGTAGTGCTAAAAGGATGGAAAGGACACTTTTTGATGTGCAGGTTGTAACAAATATGCTGGCAAAAAGCCAACGTTAGAGCTTTCTAGAATCACGTCATCCCCAAAAATAGACCCTGATTTGAACTGTCACCATGCCAGATCAATATTGGTAAAATCTCAGCCTTAAAAAGACTACAATCTCCATAATCCTTAGCCTAACAACGGCCTCCAGCACCCACATATCCCGGCCTGACAACAGAATCCAACATCATATTTACCCCCAAGCAGTATCTCAAATGTCTCGCTAATACTTTAAATGCTTTGACCGACCAGCACCTTCGTTTTAATCCTCCTATTTCAAACTTGACATCCCTGCTTTCACCAGTCCCCCTTTCTTAGCCTCCACTCCCTCTTTCTGCTTCTCTAACCACGTCGTAGTGCGAGGGTGAGGGACAGGAAAGATAGGGATGGAGCGAGAAGAGAAGGCAAACAAGAAAGGTGCACCGTAAGAAGGAAAAGGGATTAGAAGATGAAAGCTGTGGATGATGTGGAAGCCAGACAGGCAGAGAGACAGACAATTTAGCTACAGGTCAGGAAAGAGACAAAGACAGAAACAACAACAAAAGAAGAAAGAAAGAAAGTAAAATGTGATTCGCTCTACAAAAAGACAGAGAACAACCATCAATAATCTGACAGTACACAACCTCTACTGTCTGTAAGTGTACAATTATACATAGTAGAGGTTGTGCATACTTTTACATCAATGCCTCTTGAACGTACTTATCTAAAAGTCATTAAATAGACCAGTACAGTAATCATTTGAACAAAGCAAAGGTATAAATAGAACAGAAGAGGAAAGACAGAGGCGGAGACAAGAGGTCTAAACTCTATCTCACATTGCCCTTAAGGGACGTTGTGTGTGTGACATCACTCCTTCCGAAGTAAACACACGCACACACAGTCTCCGTCGCCACGGTGCCCACTCGCCACGGCAACCGGCCGGGGTGGAGGGGGCAACCACAAAACACACACACACACACACACACACATGCAAGCACACACCCGCTGAATAATAGGAAATGATTGCAGATCATATAGGAGGAGACTAGAGCTGATGTAGAAGTAGACACACACACTTGTGACACATCTCCCCTCGGAAAACTTGTCTTTCCGATCTTTAGCAGTGTGTAATCCTGAGGGATAAGTGCTAAGATCCCCCTTGTCTCCTTGACAGCTTCAGGGAATGTGTGTGTGTGTGTTCTAACCACGTCTCCTCTGTCCTTGCAGCTGGCCTACTGTGTGGTGCAGTTTATGGAGAAAGATGCTACAGTGACTGAATATGTAAGACTGTGTTTCATTACATTATTCTACTCACTACAACACACTTACTAATCAAATTTAAGGGATAATGACGGTCCTAGTTTTGTAGTTTTTGTTAATTGCTGTGAAAATTGAACCGTGGCGACATTGCAGATAGAAATGTATAGGTTTAAAGCTGCACTCATCCATTTTTTTGTGTTAAAAATGGCTCAAATGATACATGTAATGTGTGAGGTAGTGACAAACCTACAGACTACCTCCTGTACACAACCTGCCCAGCACCAAACGGCAGACAGACAAAGTTAGCAGTTAGCTGGAGAACATAGTGGCGCATTTAGCAACGAAAGAGCCACATATTTCACTCAGGAGCTGAAGTTGGTGGAGCTAAAAGGAGAGCGATTATCCACAAATACGAAATAAGACTACCGGACACATGACCATGAAACATTATGATCAGTGTTAGTCCTTAACATTAGTTTGTTCACCAGTGGTAACTAAACTGTTCGAGGTTGAATTAGAGCATCAGCTATAACCTACTTCTTCATTCACCAACATCATTACAGTAATAACGAGACAAAGTTAATGACATATTTCTTAATGCTTCAGCCAAAGTATGAATATGAGTTAATGGAGATGGCACAGATGGGCGCCAGCCAGCTCCCCTGCTGAGCTAATGCCTGCAGTTTATTCATATTAATCCGCTTCATTGTTTCTCTGCAGATCATCAGAGGGCTGCTCAAGTACTGGCCAAAAACCTGCACGCAGAAAGAGGTGAGAAAACAAATAATAAAAAGGCGCTGATGTTTCTTGTAGGACTTAAGTATTGCAAGGTGTTCCTTGAAGTGTCTTATCGTACTTTAATTCACTTCTGGGAGTCACGTGAATGTCGGTTCTGTCCTTTATATATTGATTATAAAAATGTGTTTGTCGGCGTGTCTGCGTATTCAGGTGATGTTCCTGGGGGAGATTGAGGAGATCCTGGATGTGATCGAGCCGTCTCAGTTCATCCGGGTCCAGGAGCCGCTCTTCAAACAGATCGCAGCCTGTATCTCCAGCCCTCACTTCCAGGTAAACACAACAACTCCTACATTCAAATCATGCTGGAATGTCTTTTGTTGTCAAAATGCACCAATCACTGAAAAAAAATCCCCAAATAAAACAGTTTTGGGGAGTAATTAGCCTGATACCAGTACCCTAATTGCCTACAGATTTATTATATCGCAATAGAAAAACAATCCACTGATGGTCAGTTCCTTGGATAACTTCAAAAACCGTGGGCACAAACACCAGTCTGATGAAAAGAGTCCTGCTACAACTGTGATAAATGAAAGTCGGCTCCTCTGTCCCTGTGTTTGTTTTAGGTAGCGGAGCGGGCTCTTTACTTCTGGAACAACGAATACATCCTCAGTCTGATCGAGGAGAACTGTCAAGTCATCCTGCCGCTGGTGTTCGCCACCCTCTACAGAGTCTCCAAGGAGCACTGGAACCAGTCAGTAGCTCACAATGACACACACACATTAATTCAACTTTTGGTTTTAGATAGGGGTCAATATGGATGTAACTTTTAGCTCTGCTAGCTACTGTTTTGATAGTGAAAGAAGTATTCAGATCCTTTTTTTTAAGCAAAATGAATAATACTATCATGTCAAAATAATGCATTGTAGGTAAAAGTCCTGCATTCAAAATGTTTCTTAAATAAAGGTGCAGAAGATTTAACAGAAAAGTATACTTCGAGTACCAGAAGTATGGCTGTTGAATAAATGTTGTGGAATAATAAACATTCGCCATTTCCATCTGAAATGTAGTGAATCCTAAATACAAAGTTGCATGAAATTCACATACTCATGTAAAGTGCAAGTACCTTAAAATTATATGAAAAGTAAATGTGCTAAGTTGCTTTCCACCACTGCTAATACGTAATAAGATCATTTAGCAGTTAGCTTCACAGCTGCTATGATCTCTAACATCCCAGCACTGAGATAAATGTACACGCTAAAACGTTAGCACTAGAGCTAATAATCTACTAGACACATGAATAACCCTCATGTTATGATCCAGGCAACACATATGGTTGCCAGTGGTGATAATATCTCCCCAAACACCAAGCTTCCATAACCTCTATCTCCTGACCCATAATGCCTTGGGACTGATGACCGCCCAGGTTCATTATCCTCTTTCTCCATCTCTACAGGACCATTGTGTCTCTGATCTACAACGTGCTGAAGACCTTCATGGAGATGAACAGCAAGTTGTTTGATGACCTCACTGCCTCCTACAAAGTGGAGAAACAGAAGTGAGTATGACTCACTCTCTTTGTGTGTGTGTGTGTGTCACTGGATACAACAATGACTACAAGAGGAAGGACTAGAAGGCTCTTAAGTCATGTTTTAGTCGCTATTTGTTCCATTATCCATCACATCATATTTCACGTTGTGCTGTAAGTATGTGTCGCTTCGGTCAACTTTTTCAACATGGATCACATCATGATTACACTTAGTGTGTTGCCAAGTTTAAAACTCAAGAAGGTGGATACTTTTGGGAAACAAAACTTAAAAGAGTAGTTCAGTATGGAGTTGGAGTCAGGGCATGGTTAACTTTAGCATAAAGACACAGCTAGCCGGGCTCCATTCAAAGTAAATAATCAGCAGAAAATATTTTAAAAAGCACAAAAATACAACACCTCTAAAGACGACTAATTGACATGGGCTGTCTCCTTTTAATGTTTCCTTTTGCCTGTTTGATGACATTAAGTAAGACATTTGCTTTGCAGTTGGTGGTCAATACTGTACAATTACAACAAAGCACATCTCAGGAGAAAGTAACGACTCAAACATATCTCCAGAGATTTTCATATCTCCATCCCTCTCTTTTTCTCTTCCTCCCTTCAACCTGCCTCCCCAGGGAGCTGAAGCGGGACAGGGAGCGTGTAGATCTCTGGCGAGGCCTGGAAGAGCAACAGGACCGCCGGATGCAGATGCTCACCGAGGCGGCCAGGAACCAGCGCAACCTCCAGGAGCGAGGCGAGAGAGGGGACCCACCGACCCCTTCGTCCCCGCAGACGTCTCTCTCCGACCAGCCCGAGCCCAAGCCCAGCGGGGCCTCCTCTTCCTCCTCTGGAGGCGGGGAGAGCGCCACCTAGGTGCTGCTCTGCAGAGATTTGGATAGCACGGGGGTTAGGGGACAGGGAGAAGACATGAGGTTAATGGTGAAAGTGTTGGGAGAGAAAAAGGTACAAAACGAATCCACTGTTCTTTTTATCTTGTATCATCGAGAGGGTGGCTTTTTGTGAAAAAGCGCACAATCTCAGTGATCCGAGGTAAACATTGCACCTTTTTTTTCTGACCGACTTGTGTGAAACTGGTTCACTTTTTGCTGTACACACATTATGTTGCAGATCAAAAGATGAATATTGTCCGAAAGTGCAGACAGTCGTTTTAATAAGTGGCTGGTTTATTAAACTGCAGGTCAGTGTCCAAAATTGGTAGCTGGCCTGCTTCAAATCAGCCTCAAAAATAAGAGATGAAATTTCTCTTTTGGTGCAACACTAACCAAGTTGAACATGGGTCTAACTTGATTTAACCGGCCGAGTCAGAGTCTGTACTAGGGCCACGTATTTATCTTTTGGTCAGAGATGCTTATTTCATGCGTGGATAGCACAATGCATTAAAAAAACAAAAGAAGCAATTTCACACAAATGTCCCAAAACTATTGCTGCACAGACCAGACACACACAAAACCTCACACACACACACACACACACACACGCACACACACACAGATGCAGGAACAGTACATATTCACTGTAAATATGAGAAGACAGAGCTACAGAGAGAAAGTGTATCCGGGTCAAACAAATCTCACATAAAAACACTCGATTGATGCACCAAAACATTTCATAGAGGTTTACAGGCCCAAAGACACACACACACACACACACACACACACACACACACACACACACAGTTGGTTCTGGCGCTAACTTCTCTCCCATTCTGCCGGGGTCCCACCAAAGGACGAGTCTAAAGTCTCTCAAGGTTAAATAACCACTGATGAAGATGATGATAATGATATAAAGTACAATACTGTTCCTTCTTCTTACTTGTTACTCTACTACTACTACTCTACTCTACTCTAAGTACTACTGATGATGATGATGATGATGATGATAATGTTTTTATATATATACATATGTCTGGATATTTCTGTAGTGTATTATGGGAGAAACACTAGTGTAGCAGATACCATAAAGGGGAAGGCCGGCTCGAATTTTGAATTCACATCACATGTTACCTGTATGAGGCCATAATGTGAGTGCTGAAATTCAGCGGGATTCCCCTTTAACAGACCTTAAAGAGGGGAGGAATGAACTGGATTGGCGGCGGCTGTTTTTCTTTTCTTTCTAAATTTGGGATGTTTGTGGTGCGACGGGTGTATTTTAAAGGGGTATTTCATAAAAATCCAAAAACATTCCATGTTCAAAGATTATGTTTTACTTTGTTTGTTTAAAGGTGCCCTGTGGAGCTTTCTTGTAAACAAAGTTATGTGAACATTCAGTGTTATTCACCAAAACACACTGTGTGTATCTTTGAGGCTTGACAAATGTGTTGACTGCATTTCCTTCCTCATAAAACATCCATAAAGTCGATTTGAAAAAAACATATTTTAACTCTTGCATTGTTCACATGTTTACTTGCTAGCAATCTCCTTCTTCCCTGCCTTTGTGGGCATATTGCATAGTTTTGTTGCACATTACCGCCACCAACTGCCAATGCAACACAAACATAATGGGGACCCGCTCATAAAAACATTACTCTATAGCGCCACTAGTGGTCAAAAACTCCACAGGTTACCTTTAATTTTGGCACACGGTGATGATTTGTTTGGTTAAAGGATTTACAAATTTACTCATTTGCCTCGGTTACGTTTCACAAAGTTGAACTTCAGAACCCCCCCAATTTTTTAACCAAAAATGTATCCAAGCAGACTGGCAAACCCCGCCTATCACAGAGGTTACTGGAGGACAAATAAAGCGCACCACAAGTGTTTCAGACCAAAAGAAAAACACAGTGATCCAGTTGGATTTCTGAACTCGGAGTGTCTATTTCCTTTAGGATCAGCAGACCTGAAGCTGCTAGATGGCGACCATGACGATGATAACTTTTTTCGGTGTGAACCAAGAAAAATCTGTTTATTCTTGTCTGATCATTTGATGGAGTGATGGGATAAAGAGAGGGGGGGAAAAACAGAAAAAAATTATTTTAGCAATATTTTCATTCTTTCAGGATAATATGTGTGTTCTTAGGGGGTTAAACAGGAAGTGGGTGTCACACTCAAAAGTTTACCCCCCACTACTTGTTTTTACTCCTGTTGCGTCCTTGATATTCACATTGTCTTAAAGGTACTTTTTGTGTAAATTTATTTGATGAAAACTGACTTTGCTTTGTAATTATGTTGTTTTTCTTCTTGGTTTTTGTATGATCTTGTTCATTTTGTGGAAAACTGATACTGATGCTATTTATTTTCTATTTGATGATGATGGTCAGGTTGTGTGTGTGCGAGTGTGTGTGCGAGTGCACGCGCGTGTGTGCGCGTTGGTGTGTATCCAGTGAGTGAATCAGTGAGCAGGAGATGTGCGTAGACAGAGTGATAGAGAACGAGAGAAAACTGTTCTCTCTTTGTTTCTTTTTCTCTCTCTCTCCTTCTCTCCTTCCTGAGGGACAGGGTTTGAATCTGAATGTAAAACTAATCGATTGATTGTTCTTTTTGACGCTTGAGACGCAGAGCTACCTGTCGGCTGCTTCGTAAACCAAACATTCAAAAACCCTTCAGACCAGCAGTTTTCACTCACACTCACTTTAAATCATGCCTGAGTCAACAAGGTTTTTGAAATCCATTTGATTAACCGCTCTCGGATTGGCATTTCAAGTTTTATTGAGCTGATTTAGCATTTCAAGGAGATTCATGAATCTGCTCCTGGCCCAGTTTTCCAAGTTCTTGTGGATGCTTTAAGTTTGCTTTGAGTTTGGTTGGCTTGTTCCGATGCTTTCAGGCTGCACTCACACCTAATCTGCCATTGCTTCTTCATACAAAAGAGCTCGTTGCTTTCGAACGTTGACGCTGCAGCTTTGTTCCGTCCAACATCCAGGTTATACCTTCCAACATGTTTGACAATCAAATCAAGTATTGTCCAATTTGTGAATGAATGGTCAACTTATTATCTCATGATGGCACCGGGGCAAAAAGTGAAAAGAAAGTCAAGTGTGTGATCCGATTGTGTGCTCAACCTCATGAGTACAATCAGTAAAAATACAAAAGAGCAAAAAAAAAGAATTGCAGAAGACCTTACTTGTGATCCTTCTGATCTATCTCATGACCCCTTAAGGGGCCCCAACCCCCAAGTTGGGAACCATTGACATAAGCCTTTCTTCTCCAACGACCACAATGCTGTATAGTTATTTTCTTTTCAGGCAGATTTTTTTCAGAAGAGAGTGTAGAAGTTAAGTGCACAAATTTGCATGGGCTGTGCTCCATGGCCGCCACAGAAAAGGCACTGATGCATTAGGTGTTATAGCAGCCTAATGCCAGTAAACACCTCAAAACCTGCACCTGCAAACAACAGCTGGTTGGCACTATGGGCAAAAAAACCCAAAACAGCCTCACATTTAGTTGGATTTCAAACATTATTTTGATTCAGGCAAAAAACACTCAAAAAACACAACTCAAAAGAGACAAAACTTGACCTCGCTGTCATAAAACTCAGCTTACCTTATGATTTTTGTTTTGGCTGGCTTACTCACAAACCCTCTTGATTGTTATTGTCAGTCGGTCAGCTGACTCTGGGAAAACAGAACCCCAGCTCCCACTGTTCTAGAGTTCTCACTTAATGATCAACAGTAATATTCTTGTTTTATAGAATTCTGTCGTACATTCTAGACCTGCTCCAGGAAAGGAAGTGAGAGAAGAGAGAGTGTTCGTAGATCGGGTATCGCCTCACAGACAGCCATCGTCACACATTTCCTCTCTGTGGCCATTTCCGTGTGGCCAAATTGAAACAAAGGCTTTAAATCAGAGGGGTGGTGTGAACGGATTCAATGAAAGCATTAAAGATACAAAAAAAAACAGAGGAGGAGAAAGACAGAGGAAAGAAAAGACGTAGAGTTAGACACGATAGAATGGCAATAAGTCAGAGCAACAGTAACAGAATGAGAATATAATGTTACCGAAACCTACAACTGCATTAAGTAGCAATTTCACTGAATTTCTAGATTTGCACTGTCTGCCCAATGGTTTGTGTTTGTTGTGTTGAAGAAAACCTTAGAGAAGATGATTAAGATGATGCAGGGGAAGAAGAAGAAGATGTATATTTTGGGGACCAACACGGGGGGGGGGGGGGGGGGGG